TCCCATTTCCATCTTCCTTTCTTCTGCCGATATTGTCGTCACCGTCCGTGGCCTTCCTCTCTCTCCCTTCTCGCTCCTCTCCGCTCCGACTCCCCTCTCTCTCTTTCTGTAACCTTCTTTCCCCCCTTCCAAAACGACGTCGTTTTTCTCCATCTTTAAAACGGCGTTGTTTCCTCCATTTTTTTTTCTTCTTCAGTCACTAGAAGAGGACATATCACAAAGTTTTTTTTTTCTTAATTGTTATTATTAAAAATATTATTTGAACCTTAATTATTATAATAAAAAATAATTTTGTAGGCTACCACAACATAGTAGACGAAACCAATGATAATACTAAAATTTTTTAAATTTACATAAAATACTTCTTGTTCGTGTAAAATGTGATTTATTTTCAATAAAAACACTAATTTCCTTATAAATATTTACAGGATTATATAATATACTAAATATTTATTTTTCTAAATTTATCAAAATTTATAAATTTTTTTATTATAATAATAAGAGATTATTATTATTTCCAAATGATCCAACTTTTGCACGACAAAACTCCAACAACAAAAAATACTAACCCAGTGTATTTTAATTAGTTAATATATGTGTTATGAATTATTAAAAGTGGTATAAGTGAGAGCAATTTTAAAATAAAAATACTTGCAATATTTAATTAAATAGTTTGTAAAAAGGATTTTAAACATAAAATTGGATATTATTTTAATTAATTATATTGTAAAATAGTAATAGATAAAAAAATGATCAATAGTTGCATAAAAATAAAGTTATTTGTATATTATTATTACAAGTATTTGAATTATTATTCATTGTTTTATATATAAATACTAACTTTAGATAATTCTTAAAATAAAATTTATTTAGAGGATGTATAATAAACATAAGTTAATTAATAGTAAAAATACTAAGTTTATAATATTTCCTGCATGTTTCTCAATAGTTTTTTCAAAATTTTTATTCAACCGTTTTAAAAAAATGGTTTTGTATCATGTAAGCATGAATCAGCTAGTTTTCTTTTAACAGGCCCGAGCTTGTCCGACCGTGGACCGAGCTTGGGCTCGGACTCGTTGTGGATGATCAAAAAATGCTGCGCTGATGATAGCTAGACCAAGTTGCTTGCTTCGGCTAGGCCCAAGCTTGTCCCAATTTTATTTTATATTGATTTTTTTTTTCCTCAATGAAGCAATAAATACTAACTATACATATATATATATATATCATATAATACTAATTCGTAAAATATTTTTTTTTTTAATATAAAAAACATTCAGTAAAGCTTTCTGAATTTATATTTTTTCTAAAACACAAATTGAAAACAAAGTGTTTGTTTATGTATTTTTTAAAAATAAACTTGATAAGAACCCTTTATAATATGAAATTGAAAAAAAGACTGAATAAAATATATTTTATGATTTTTTTTTTT